TTTTTGTTGTTATTTTTTGTGTTAGGTATTTTCAAGATAGGGTTTCATGAACTATTTGCCTAGGCTGGCTTTGAACTGTGATCCTCCTGATCTCTGCCTCCTGAATAGGTAGGATTACAGATGTGAGCCACTGACACCCAGTTTCTTCTTTCTTTTTTTCAGTCTATGTTCTCTGTTGTTCAGACAGGATAATTCCTGTAAGTCTGTCTTTCAGTTCATAGATTCTTTTGTTCTTTCTATTCTGCTGGCAAGCCTACATTAAACTTTTAATTTTGGTTATTGCATTTTTCATTTCTAAAATTTCGATTTTATTTTTCTTTACAGCATTTTTGCTTTCTATTTTTCATAATTGCCAGTTGAAACATTATCATCTTTGTTTTCTTCTCTTTTTTTTTTTTTGAAGGCAGAGAAAGGAGATTTATTACACGGCTCAGGACATGCTGTGGAAAGAGGCAGAGTAAGCACTCAGTTCATCTTTAGCCATCTTCCCATTATCATCTTTTGTTTTTAGTTTTATTTAGTGGTACTGGGGCTTGAACTCAGGGCCTCATGCTTGCTAGGCAGGTGCTGTACCACAGGAGCCACTCCGCAGCCCTCATTATCATCTTTTAAAGAGAATTCTAACATCTCTGTTATCTCAGTGTTGACATCTCTTTCTTATTTACTTTTTCCATTTAGTTTGGCATGTTTCTGGTTTTTGGCATGACAAGATCTTTGCTATCTGGGCATTTTCATATTACGTTATGAGACTCTGGATCTTACTTATGCCTCTCAGTTGTTGGCTTTCTCTGCCACTATTCCAACAGAGGAATGATGGTGCTGCATAGTTACTGCCAGATGGAGGCAGGAGACTAGGTCCCCACTCAACCCCCAAGAAGGGATGGTTCCTCATTGTTGCTGGGAGGGCCAGCTCACTACATGGTTTCCATTGACTCCTCAGTGACAGTGGCATTGAAGTGAAAGTCCTGACTGGGCAGTGGGGAGAGATATGGGTGCCTGATTACTAGTGATAGGGGAGCAAGACCAAGAGGTCTGACGATCTCCACCAACCCTGCAGAGTGAGGGTTGGGGCTTATTACCGCCCAGGGGGATGGAAGTCCCAGATCCCCTTACGCCCCTCTCTGTCATCACCACAGCTGGATATAGTCGGACTTCTATGACTGTGACAAAATACCTGAGAAAAACAAAAAAGGGAAGATTTATTTTGGCTTATGGTTTCAGCTGTTTCAGTCCATGGTTGGCTGGCTCCATTTGCTTTTAGACCTGTGGCAACAGAGAAACATCACGGCAGAAGGACATGGCAGAGGAACGTGAGTCATATCATAGCAGTCAGGAAGCAGAGAGAGCCAGAGGAAAGACCCCGGGACAAGACATAGCCTTAATGACCTCCTCCATCTAACTTGGCCCCATAAACTCATCAATTGATAAAGTTAGTGTCTTCAATCCAATCACCTCTCAGTATTGCCACCAGCTGGGAACCAAATCTTCAACTCATGAGCCTTTTGGGGACATTTCATATGCAAACACTACCAAAGTGTCATGAGGGTGGAAACCCAGTTTCTACACTTGACTTTAGTTGGTGTAGGTGGAATAGGGCCACAGGTTTTACAGTGGTGTTTGGCTGGAATAGAGTGGTTATTGTCTAAATATTTGCAATCCTCCTTGTTAGGGTTGTGTTTTTGTTTTTGTCTGCAAAATTGGCATTTCCAGGTTGCTAGCTTCTTCAGCTCCAAGTCTGAGATATATGAAGTAAAAATAAGACAAAGGAACTTACCTCTGGTCTTATTTTTGTTCTATACACAGTGTTCAAGCTTTTCAATTACACTTCACAGGAGGAGGCATCAACTCCATCTTTCTGGAAGGAGAGGTCTGTATATTTTCTTGTGTGAAGTCTCTGTTCAAGCCTTTTGTCCATTTATAATTAGGTGCTATGTGTTTTTATTATTTATTCATAGGAATCATTTATATATTCATGATATGGGTCCTTTTTGAGATAATGTTTTGCAAATATAGTCTCCCAGTCTGTGGCCTACCTTTTCATTTTTTAAATTGTGAACTTCGATTAACAAAAACTTTTAAATTTTGTTTGTCTTTTGGCAGTACTGGGGTTTGAGCTCAGGGCCTCATGCTTGCTAGGGAGGCTCTCTGCCACTTGAGCCACTCTGGGCTGCCCAAAAGCTTTAAATTTTCATGTGGTCCAACTCCAAATATCTAATATAAACTCCTTCACTGCTAAATGAGGCAAGGTTAGCTTGCTTGCAACTAAGAATGCTGATCTGAACCTGGAGAGTCACCTTCATGCTTGTACAGTTTTCTTACACACATACTGATTTTACTTGATAGTTATATGTGCAATGTTTCCTTTTGTTGGTACTGGGATTTGAACTCAATGCCTCATGCTTGCTAGGCAGGTGCTCTGCCACTTGAACCACTCCACCAGTCCCCTATATTTTGTGACTCACTTTTGCAATTGTCTCCACAAAAACTATAAAAGCTTCACTGAAAATAAGACTCATTATTTTAGAGTTTTGCTTAATTTTTCACCTCAAACACCTTTGTAAAAAATTTTCAACTGTTAGTCTTGGCTCTATAAACTTGGGCTGCTGTACAAGTAGAATTTACTCTCAAGGGATGATAAATTGCCACAATGAATGTTACTTGAAAGGCTGTGTTGTAAACTCTGATGGGCAACCTTTGGTCAGTTTTTCTACACCTTGCCCTAGCAAATTTATACTTATTGAGGCTCTACTGGGGAGAGTCTATAACCAAGGGAACTACTGTCCCTTCGAGTTCTCCCCTGGCATTGGTCTTTCCAACAAGGCTACTCAGGGGCCCTGATGAGTTAAGAGAAAGAAATCCTTCTACCTTATGTTGAAAAAAAGAGTCCTCCTAGGCTAGAGGGAATGTAGGGAGGAGTTAATAACAGGATAAGGCTAGGAAAATGGTTAGCTCTGCACTTATTCTGGGACAAAAGAAAGTGCATATGGAAAATTTATATTCAAATATATAATGCTTCTAAGATAGTTGGGATTTGGATTGATGCAGCTTTGCTTCCTTCCTCTGTGGATGTCTGAAGGTTCCTGAAAGCCTCCCTTTTGTTGTTGCAGTACTGGGGTTTAAACTCAGGGCCTCACACTTGTTAGTTGTTAGGCAGGCACTCTACCACTTGAGCCTCTCTGTTAGCCTTTTTTTGGGTTGGGTATTTTTCAAGATAGGGTCTTGCAAACTATTTGCCTAGGCTGGCTTTGAACTGAGATCCTCCTCATCTCTGCCTCCTGAGTAGCTAGGATTACAGGTGTGAGCTGCCGGTGCCTGGCCCTTTTTCTTTGTGCCTTGTAGGTTTTAAAAGATTCACAGGGCAGAGACTGGGGGTGTAGCTCAGTGGTAGAGCACTTGCCTGGCATGCATGAGTTCCATCCCCAGTATCACACAAGAAAATTACAGGGCAAACCCACAAAGAATCATAGTATTATGAAAAGAACTGAATATACAACTGGCATATAAGATTAGACTCATTTAACTCCTTAGGTATATGGTTGTTTTTTCCCAAAAATTCACCACTCTTTTTTTGTTTTTGAGAAAGGGTTTTGTGTAGGTTAGGCTGGCCTGAAACTCATGATCCTCCTGTCTCAGCCTCTAGAATTGCTGGGATTATAGGGGAGCCACCAGGCCCAGCCCACCAACTCTTGAATATAGAACACATGCTCATCTAAAAATTAAGATAAAAAATTTCTGCAAATATTGTTGGTAGTTATTCCCACAGAGTAAGACTGAGCAGAATATTCTTAAGTTCCCTTAAACTTGTAAAAGTAATACTTCCGGGTGACAGGTGTGGAATCATTACTTTTAATCTTACCAGAAATTCATGGAGATTGGCTTAGTTTAGCTATAGTATATATTTGATAATATGTGACACGTCTGTCCAACATATAAAGCATATGATGAGCACTTGTCTTCAGTAAAATGACAGCTCAATAACAAATGAAATTTTATTATTCAATGTCAACGTTAATGCTAATAAAAAATATAATATGCTGAATTCAGCATGCGGGAAGGCCAAGGCACCCCTCTGAGCAGAACAAGGAAAACAAGGCGGAACAGGTGGGTATCACCCACATCAGACGTGCTGAGGGCACCTCTGCCCTCCTGCAGGACTGAGAATTCTGGGTTCAACATTCTTCTGGATTTAGCTAATCAAGATAAAAGCATAATTCAAATCTAGACAGTTGTCCAAGATACAAGTTTGCATTTGAAGTTGATATTTTTTCCTCTTCAAAAATAAAGAAAATCAAATCTTGTGTCTACTAAGGTTTTTATATTTTGAGATTGTGGGATCTCTTTGTATTAAGCTTTAACAGCCTAGAAATCTAGGCTGGTAAGAGTAACAATGGTTAGTCAATGAATTAGTTGGTAAAATGGAACCCTTTAAAAGTGAAGACATACAGGAAGGATTTTTTTCAAAGGATATTTTAACAAATAAGGACTTGTTTTGTATGTACATGCCATAGTCAAAGACAAAATTTGGATTAATTGTTATATTCAGGAAATAGGTATTTATTTTCACTAATTGAGAGAGAGAGAGAGAGAGAGAGATACAAGAGAAGAGAAGAGAAGAGAAAAGAAGAGATAATTTAAGCAAGACTGTAACTTCCTGAGAACTCTAATTTAGGTCAGTTATGGGTTTGGGATATTCAGTCTTCTTAACAAGAATGGTAAGAAAAGTATATTTTGTCCATTCACAAGAGAAACTGAAGAAGATTGCTTAACAACCTCATGGGACATTTGTTGAAACAGATGTTCTAGTTGAGAGAAATGTAAACATGAGTCTTAATTTACAAATATATTGGTTATCCCCCTTGTCTGGGAGGTTGAGCCAAAGTTTATATGGATTAGAGCAAAACTGAGTTTGGAAAAATTCAAAGAATTATTACATACATGCAGGTATGTTGGCAATTATTTGAATAGCGGTTTACAAAGCCTTCTGTGGCTTCACCGGTAGCTCACATGCAAGTGACCTGAGTCACTCCATCTTCCTGGTCAAACTGTCCATCATCGAGTTCCCGGAGGCCACTGTGGCGGCTGCTGAACCTGGAGAAGCTGTGGGCCTGGGCAGGCCTGTCTTCCGCAGTCCAGCACTCCCTGGAGGGACAGAGGAGGCCCTCCTGAGGCGGGACTCTGCCCTCTGCAGGTTGGGACGAGCCTGTGTCGAGGCCAACACTCCTGCTGCTGACTTTGTTCCTGTCCTCACCTTTCAGAAGCCGGCTGGCCTTCCTCTGAAACACAAGAGATTGGCAGCGAGGAGTTAAAGACTGTTTCCATGCCTCTGCTCAAGCACTTTTGGCAGTTCTGCTTGAAACTCCCTTCCCTGCTTCTCTTCAAAACCCTGCTCATCCTTGGGGCTGGGGGAGCGCCTGCCTAACATGCAGAGGCCCTGGCTTCTGTCCCATGCACTAAGGAAGATAAAAACTATCCTGCTCATTTTTAAGTACTAGGTCAGGACCGCCCTCCTCATCCCTGCCTATGCTGCAGCTCTCTGGCTTCTGTTACATCAGATTTTGGGGGACAAAGCAAGGCAGAAATGTGAACACACTTCTCTTGTTGGTGTTCATTAGGACCTAAACAATGGGGAATGTGCTTCAGTGGCCACCTTGCCCTTGTGTTCAAGAGGCACAGGCTACACACAGAGTCCTGAAAATTCACACTAGGTTTATATTGAATGATTGTCTGGAATGTTTTCCTGGGCAGACCCCTGACCTTGTCCTGCTACAAACTGCTTCTGCTGACAGTTAACCCTCAGGCATTTGATCCAGTTCATCTGTCAGACTGTGACAAGCTGTGGATGTTTTTGCTGATAATATTTTACTGAGGGCGGAATATCCGTGGTATAGTTTGGGATGGAGTACCTGGTGTCTGCCAAGGAGACTCAAGCCAAAATAAAATCATGTAGGTCACAAAGGGAGCTCAAAGAAAAGCAGAGCTCACCACATGGACACTTGGATGACCCGTGCAATTTCATTACAAGGACTTAACACCAGTAACACGCCACACATGGGGATAGGGTCACATGGTTAGAGGCACATAAAACTGAAAAAGGATTTAAAGGCAAATTTAAAAAGCACAGTATTGTGCCTGTAATCCTAGCTAGTCAGGAGGCAGAGATCAGGAGGATCTCAGTTCGAAGCCAGCCCAGGCAAATAGTGCACGAGACCCTATCTCAAAAACATCACAAGAAAAGGGGTGGCAGAGTGGCTCAAAGTGTCAGTCCTGAGTTTAAACTCCCAGTACCGTAAAAAAGCCAAACCAAACCAAAACAATGTTTTCCCCATTTCAAAGTTTTGTTTATATGTTAGCTGGGAATTAAAATTACATTTTACTGAATGTAAGAACAGATTATAAAAATCAATTACTGGGGCTGGCCTTCACAAAGTTAACTCATAAGTTTGTTGAATGGCAGTGTATAAAATAGAAAAGTATTTTCTAATGGCTTTCATGGCTAATATATAAAGCAAACAAAGCTGTATCCAACTGGGTTTTGTGGGCTCCAGTGGGTTGTGACACTGTTTGTGACATTTATAGGAAGACGCAGCCACGGGTGTTGCCGTGAAAGGGGAACATTGGTAACTCTGAGAAGGCTTATTTTTCTCTTGGCCAAGGAACTGGAGTCTGTGCGCAAGTTTAAGGAGAAAAGTCTACAGGGGGTCCTTCCTCAGCAAAGGCCACTTTTGTAGGCCCATGTAGGCACAGTTCTGTGGTGTCATGTTTCCCTTGGTACCCTTGCATTTACCACCTCTAATTCTTTTCCTTTTTATTCCCTGCCACCAGATGTACTGTATTTAACACAAGCAGAAAACCCGCAATTTACTCTGAGTGAGGTGCGGGATGTGGGAATGCGCCCTCTCGCCAGCAAGGACCTAATCCTTGGCATCAGAGGGCAGACAGGGCTACAGTTAGCTCCTTTGTCAAGCAGGTGCCTTTCCCGCAGGCATAAAGGATGCATTCAGTTTGGATCGATACTCTCAACTTTGAATCAAATGGGGAGGCAGGTGTTTGGGTGCCCTTGGCTGCCTGGATCTTTCTTTCCTCACCAGCAACAGGGCCAAAGATGAATTTTGCAAGAAATTCCTTATGTGTGCCAGCTAGCAGAGGTCAATCTCACATACTCAATGAGGATTTCCTTAACAAAAATTGGACACTATTCAGAATAAGACATTCACAGCAATTCACTTTTAGATAAGCATTAATAAGTAAACAGTCATCAACTGTAAATTTCAAATGTTACATGACAAAATTCTTAATACTGTACCTTTAAAAGATTTCAGAACACACATTTTTTATTCCTTTCCTACCATGTTGCTGTCAGGTTTAATAAACACATTTTTAGCAATGAAAAAAAGAACTTTACCTGGAAGCCAATAAATTCCCTGCTCCTCCCCACAGCAATCCACGTGAAATAATAGCTTTTCCAACAAACCAGTTTGTAATGTCCTTGTAACTTAGTGTAGGAGAGGAAGCTCAGTCAGCCCCTGGAGACCATTCCCTTCAAGCCCCTATTGTTCAAAGGTGGGATTCAGGCCCAGAAAAAAGATAGGGTTTGTCTAAAGTCATGGAATGGCTAGTCCCAGGCTGGAGCCTGGATTCGTCCTTACTCTTTTCACACTTCATTGACCATACTTTATTATCCATATTTGCAAAAGCAAGGGTAGATTTGTGGTACAAATGAAATTTTCATTTCATTTTTTCTTTGTTTGCAGTACTGGGAATTGAACCCAGGGCCTCATACTTGCTAGGCAGGCACTCTATAATCCTGTTTGCCAGAAATGCCACTGTTAAAATCTTGGCCTATTTTACAGTGATTGCATCTTGGGATAGATAGGGTATTTGCATGCACGTACATGATGGATAGAAACACTACACAAGGGCTGGAGGAGCTAACTTTGGTAGAGCCTGCCTACCATGCATGAAGCTACGAAGCCCTGGATTCAATCCCAAACACTACAATGAGAGAGAGAGAGAGAGAGAGAGAACAAAGTTTTTACAGCTCACTTTTCCACTCAGCTCTGTATTCTGATTATTGCTTCATGTCAATAGAGTTTCCATGTTGTATTTCCAGGTCTACCCAAACCTCACTTTTTTCTAATATCTTCACTATACAGTGGGAAGAAATTATATCAAGATTTGCATGTAGATTCAATGCCACCCCTGATGAAACCTATTAACTTCTGAGAGTCATTCCCATTTACAAAGAAAAGGGACCCATTAAAAACACAAGAGACTCAGTGACCAATCAGTTGAATTTAGGCTGTTCTCCCAATCTATCTTTCATTTTTTTACTGTCAGTGTTTTAAAAAAATAACAACAAAAGAGTTATAGCAGCAATCATAAGACATTGTGTTAGACACAATCTTGAACAGTGTTGTGATGGACAGAGTTGAAGAGTGGCCAAGAAATATAATTCATAGACTGATAAAAACATGGAGTGGACAGCCAGATTTCTCAGCTTTGGGGGAAGACTGGGAAGTCTCAGTGCAGCTCTTGGACCACTTGGAAGATTTAGAGGTTTTGAATCATGCAGACAGGTGCCACTCCTGCCTGCTTACAGACTATTCTGTTGGATCACCCCAGCTCTCTTTTTTGGATCTTATGAGCTATGCTAGTACCCTGCCCACCTAGAACCAATAAATTCCCTCCTGTACAGAGGCCGGTCTGAGCAGGGCTTCTGCCCTTTACAACCTGAGGCCTACCAACAGGCATATGGGTAGCCAGGAAGAAGGGAGCTCTTTGGCCCTACACCTGCCCCTGTGGCAGCAGTGACTGCTCCCTCTCCTGCCCGCACCAGGAAAACCCATTTGTGTTGGCAGAAAGCAGTCTCTGGATAGAGGACTTCGTTCATGACACAAGCAAAAATGCTTTCATCTTTATTTCACAAGCTGCTCTTTGTGATCCTGCCCTGGAGCACCTGCCTGTCTTCAGGTATCATAAGAGAGAAAGACCTTTAACATCTTTGAGCCAGTTTTTTTTTTTTTTTGCCTGTTTTTTTGAGATACAGTCTCACTATGTAGCCCCAGGCTGGCCTCAAAGTGGTGATCTTCCTACCTCAGTCTGCAGAGTGCTGGGTTTATAGGTGTGCCCCACCAGGCCCAGCTTAAGCTACTCTATACTGGCTCTTTTTGTTGCAGCAGCTTAGTAACTTAATTATTTACAAATTAACCCTGATATGGGAGAAGCCGTTACTGGTGACTAATGCTTTTTAACTTAAGATAATTTCCCCCAACATTCTTTTCTTTTTTTTTTTTTTTGTGGAGCTGAGTTTTGAACTCAGGACTTCACACTTGCAAAGCAGGTGCTCTACCATTTGAACTATGCTTCCAGTTCATTTTGCTCTGGTTATTTTGGAGATAGGGTCTCAAGAACTATTTGCCCAGGCTGGTCTTCACTACAATCCTCCTGATCTCAGCCTCCCAAGTAGCTAGGATTACAGGCGTGAACGAGGTGCCCAGCACTTCCACTTTCTAATTATGAAAAATTTCAAGTCTACAGAAAGTTTAAAGGATAGCATAATAAACACACACCCAACACCTAATTCAACACTTGCTCATATGTTGCCCTATTTTCTTTGTAGGAATATATGTATATGCATGTTTCGGAGTATTCATAAACTGCATTTGTATATGATAGCTGAAGGTAATTTTTAGCTGGAGAAAATACAGGGTCATTTGCAGTTTCTGGATTTTTCTTCAGTCTCTCCATATTTTTAGTGGTTTAATGATGAGGTATTAAAAGCAAAACGTTCCTGTGAAAGCAACAGCTTCCTCTCACATTACCAGGCACTGTGCAAAACACATGCACATAGGCTTTGGCTGGGATCCTCCTAAGAGCCCTGCAGTCCGGGCTGAGGTTGGCCATGCCTTATTGATGAGGCAATGGAGGCTTGAGCCCTCTTGTGGTTTCCATGAAACCACCCCTGTGCCAAAACCTACTCTGAACTGCCAGAAACCAAATACTTCTATGTGAATTTCTGTGTCCTTTACAAAGCAATTATCAAGGGGGAATCTGGGCTAACACTTTAACTAAAATGGAGACTGTTAGGTAATAGAAAATCTTGAGTTTTATCTGATTCTTTGAAATGCAAAGGGATATTTAACTGATGGAGGTAAAATTTTGATCAGAACCTCTTACCCTACCCTGTATAGCTATCATTTCCTTAAATCCATTTAAAGGCCTCTCCCCAAAATAAAGAAAAATAAAAATACATAAGATCCTCATATAGAGAAAAGGGAGGTTAACGACTTCATTACACTTTCTAAGAACTCCATCACTGAAGACCAAAACATAAAAAATGTAGTCTATGTAATTTATAAAGGAAATGATCTTTTGAAATTTTATTTCATTTTAAAATTTCATTTTTTAATTAATTAGTTTTTGGTGGTGTGGGGTTTGAACTCAGGGCTTCGTGCTTGCTAGGCAGGCGCTCTACGACTTGAGCCATGCTTCCGGCCCTCATTTTACTTTTGAGACCAGGACTCATTGTGTTGTCCAGGCTGGCCTCAAACTCCTGGCCTCACGCCATCCTCCTGCCTCCGGTGTCCTGAGTAGCTGGCACTAAAAGCACGCACACCGTACCTAGCTTGATTTGTTTTAAATGATCATACGGTAAAAGTGACTTTTGGAGGTATAGTTTTGTGAATTTTAACACATATAGATGTGTATAGTCACCATCAGGACACAGCAGATTCATCACCCCAAAACCCTTCCCTATATTCCTCTATCACACTGCTCTCCCCCACCACGTCCCTGGCAACTCCTACTCTGTTGTTCACACCACGGTTTCAAGAGTGTTAAGTGAGTGGAATGACACAGTTGGTGGCTTTTTGAGCCTGGCTTCTTTTACTCACCTCTGAGATCAGTCCAAGTTATTATTCATGTTACTTGATTGCTTTTAGTTCTGAGTAGTATTTGACTGTACGAATGGACCACAGTTGTTTATCCACATACTTACTGAAGACATTTGGGTTTCCCTTGTTTTGGCAATTATGCCTAGAACTATCAATATTTGTGCATAGGTTTTTGTGTGAGCGTAAGCTTGGGTTTCTCTAGGATAAACAAGAGGGGGTTGCTGAGTCAACTTGGGAAGCATGCAGTGTGTGACTTCAGAAGAACCTGCCAGATTGTTCTCCAGAGTGGCCACACTGTTTTGTGTTCCTGCCAGCAGTGAGCGAGAGCTCTGCTTGCTCCGTGGCCTCACCAGCTCTTGGGTATTGTATTTTTTTTTTTAACCAGTCTAATAGGTGGATGGGGCTATTTCATCATGGTTTTCTCCTGCACTTCCCTGCTGGTTAGTGACTTAAGCGTCTTTTCACATATTACTTGTCTACATATCCTCATCGGTGAGGTAGCCAACAACTAATAGTATTGTTTTTTTTGACTGTTGAACTTTGGGAATTTTTGATACACTCTAAATTCAAGGTCATTGTCATATGTGTGATTTGTGAAGTTCCCCTCCCCTTCAGTTTGTGGCTTATCTTTTCATTTTCTTAACAATTGCATAGAAACTGTTTTTAATTTGATGAAAATAAATTTTTTTTGACAGTACTGGGGCTTGAACTCAGGGCCTTATGCTTGCGAGGCAGCTATGCTACCATGCCTCTAGCCTTGTGTTGGTCATTTTTCATTTTAATTTTTTTGGTGGTACTGGGGTTTGAACTCTGGGCCTCCACTCTAGCTAGGAAGGTGCTCTACCACTTGAACTACTTTACCATTCCCCCCTATTTTTGTGTGTTGGTATTTTTGAGATAGTGCCTCACAAAATATATACCCTGGCTGTTTCAAACCACAATCCTCCTGATCTCTGCCTCCTGAGTAGCTCGGATTACAGACATAAATCACCAGCACTTGGCTGTGTTGGTCATTTTTGAGATAGGGTCTTACTTTATGCCTGAGCTGGCCTGGATGGACAGTGATCCTCCTATCTCCCCTCCCAGTTAGCTGGGATTACAGAGGTACATCACTGTACCTGTCCTAATTTCTCAATTTTTAAATGAAGTCTGCTTTTGGTGTTTGTCTAAGAACTCTTTGCCTAAATCTTCATGACTATTTTATCCTAATAGTTTTTTTTGAAAAGTTCTCTAGATTTACTAACAAAAAACTTTGTAATATCTTAAAGAAAACTGAGGCAGTAATTATGAGTATAATTTTTTAAATTAACATTTTGCATGTTAAAAAAATTTAAACTATATAGAATATCACATAAGATGTATCTGTGAGATATAAAACAAATTCCAAAAGTAAACATTTGATGACTTCAGAAGAAAAAGCTTCCAACAGCAGACTTCCTGCACTGTGCAGTTCTCAATCTCCTCCTCCTGCCAGAGGGTCGTGAAATGGATTTGACATAAAAGTGCTGTTATGCTGAAAGCAACAGGGTAGGAGAGTCACACGTCTGGACAATAGTCTTGCCTGCAATATCTCAAATTCCCACCAGGTGCTTTGAGAACTAAACGTCTTTGATAAAATTCTTTGAAAACCTAAAAATGAAGCCACCACCCCATCATCCCCTCCCAAGCAACTACTCATTTCAAGGTACAAAGAAAGAATGGAGGCTCTTGGGGTGGCTCAAGTGGTAGAGCACATGCCTAGAGCTAAATTCAATCTCAGTATTACTGGGGGTGGGGGAAGGAAAAAAAAAAAAGGAAAGAAAGAATGGTACCATTCTAGACCTGTGATTACATAATTTTTTCTAGGTGTGTTATAAATCTAACTTTCACAAAATATATATGAGATAGCTAATATGACTCTATGGTGATATTTTTTACTGCCTTTTTGAGATAAAGTAACAATTACTTTAGGGAAAATTAAAAGAATTTACAAATTATTTTTTTGTTATAGCTGTTAAATACTTCAGCTCCAGACTGATCTATCTACATATTCTGCCTGAAATAATCTCAGCATCTTGAGATTTCTTGCTAGAAATATTAAACCTTTGCCAAATGGTGAAATAGTAAATTTATAAGCAGAATTCTAATCTATACATTATTCTCGGATTTGTCATTGATAGAAGCATTTTTTTTTTGCAGTACTGGGGATTGAACTCAGGGCCTCTTGCTTGCTAGGCAAGCACTCTACCATTTGAGACAGTCCCCTTTAGAACTGTCTCATGTTGGCAGAAGACTGGCCTATTTGCCTTCTCACATGGTATAGAAGACGATTTTCATATCAAGTATGCAATTCTTCATCTGTACTTACCATTTGGAATAAAAAGAGTTTAAGGATTAAATGCTTTACTGTCATATCTAATACATAAGGCATCAGTTTTACTCACCTCTGGGGTCTGAGCTGCTGAATTCCATATAACTGGCCTCTGAAGGAACACAACCTGCTTTGTAGCCAAATTCCCTTCACTGAAAATGAAAACAATAGCATTAGTATTTGTGAATTAGTAATTCTCTATGCCTATATTCATACTTGGCTAGAATGATCCACATATATTTGTAAAAATATCTGACTCTTAAAGATTATGAAATATTATAATATTTCTGACTTCTACTTAATCTTTGCCTCCTGAGTAGCTAGGATTACAGGTGTGACTCACCAGTGCTTGGCTTCCGGGAAGGCCTGGAAGGCCAGGCAATGTGTAGCAGGGTTAGATTTCCTGCAAGGAGTCCTGAGAGGGCAAGGCATGAAGCTATGAGGGTGAAGCCTCTGCTACAATGGAGACCCCAGAATGTTGCAGATGCCAGGAGCATGAAGCCTCTTGAGGAAAGCCACAGGCAACAAGTGGAGCCAGACCAAGAGAGGGGCCATGTAAATTGCAGGTCTACTGCAGCTTACATCATGACAACAGGCCTCAGATATCAGATGTGGCGCTGCAGAATGTAATGCTTGCCCTGCTGGGTTTTGGGCTTGCTTTGGTCACATCCTTTCTAGCTATGCCTCCATTCCTCCCCTTTGGAATGGGAATGTTAACTCTGTGCTATTGAATCTTGAAAGTATATGATGTTCCTTTTGATTTTACAGGGCTCATAGCTAAGAGTTTGCCTTGAGTCTCAGAGAAGACTGGGAACTCAGGCTTTTTTTTGAACAAGGTCAGAACTGCTAAGACTGAGTGGACATGAGCCTTTCGGGGGGTTTGGGGTGAAATGTTTAAGATGTGTTTGGGGATCATGTTGACAAGGGGTGGACTTATAATTGTTGGATGTGATTGTCAGTTTGCTTGGATTTGGAATCACCTAGGAGATTGGCACGGCACCCCTCTGGGTGTGTGAGAGGGATTCTAGAAATGGGTTGACTAAGATTGACTAAGCGGGGAAGACCTTCCTTGAATGTAGGTAGCACCATCCCACATTGGGATGATTCTACTAGGGACCATATGGAATAAAAGCAGAAAAAGCAGTAAGCCAGTCCAGTGTCTGCTGTTATTTCCTTTCTCTACTTATGGGACTTGCACTGAACTGCTCTGCTCCACCATGTCCTCTTTGCCATGATAGAATGACACCCTGAAACCATGAGTCAAAATAAATCTTTCCTCCCTTAAAAACAAAACAAAACAAAACAATAAAGCCAGAATATATCCTGCACTGCAAAACAAAATATCCAACCAGATGGTCATTAAGAAGAAAAGAATTTGACATGCTTTAAGACTCTTATAATCTTACCGTTCTAACATAACTATTTTCATCTTTTTGTTTCTCCCAGTCTTCATCAGCATGTGTAACTGCCACGTATCACAGTTTTGTTTCCATGCCTTTCACTAAACATCCTTTTCTTTGTACACTGGGATGGTATTTTTAATGGAATTATGGTACAAAAATGTCCTAAATCTTTCCTTTATTTTGGAAAATTAGATTGTTCCCAGCTTCCTGCTAGTTATAAATCATGCCGTTATAAAAATATGTACGGTCTTCCTCTTACAAATTATTTCCTTGGGGTAAATTCTCAGGAGTGGGATTATTAGGTCGAGAAAGTATGATTTAAGCTTCTTGTTATGCACTGTCGAAATTTGCCTCAGCACAATAACAGGCCCATTTGGGCTCCACACGTGAGAAATTTTATGTACATTTTCAACTGAGACACTTTGGCCACCGCCAGTTTCATTTTCAGATGTGTCTTTGTTGTCAGCCACTCAGTATTCCCCTTACTTAACTGTCATCATGGCAAATTACCCCTCACCAAAAACGACTTGAGGTTTGTATTCCTCTGAAGTGTTTTCCAGTTTCTGGGGATTTATGGGGAGGAGTGTCTGTGGCTAATTTTGCTCAGTTACCGACTTTTACTATGCAAAAAGCCCAACAAAACCTTACAGTCAGCAGCTTTTATGATGGGCTCTTTCTCCAGAGAGGGAATGCGTCAGTGAAACTGCCCTGGAAGTGTATGTCAACTGCACACCAGTGAATATCCCAAACTTACTGGGGCCACTAAGTTTTGAGAAATATCAAATCTTCCCCCAAAGTGGTCAGAGGGGACTGCTTCTTTTTTTTTTTTTAATTTTTTTTAATTTTTAAAAGACTGCTTCTAGTGTCACAGAAGATAAGTTTGGCCTTCTATTAGAACGGACTTGGTTTGAGATATAATGTAACTTTTAGGAACAACTTACAGTTACATATAGACTAGGCCAGACCTGTGCTGGAACCACGGGAATAAGCAGTGGCTTTGGAACCCGACAGTTCTTGGATCCAAATCCCAATTCTATCATAGCACCTAGAGTTGATAACGTCAGATACAGTCCTTACATTCTCCAACTCTGTTTCCTAGCAGAGACCTTATGAAGGACACAGAAGACAAAGTGCCTGAGGAGTCTCCCACTGTGCCCACCACCAGAAGGAGCGCAATGAATGTGACTTCCTTCCGCTTTCTCTACGCATTTGGTGGACTACGGAATGGCGTTAGGGGGAAGAGAAATATCTCTGAATCAAGAATATCTTCCAGAGAGCAAATTCAAGGGGAAGGGTACATGAGAAGAGAGAACAGATTTAGGTCTAGCACTACCCAACGATGAGAAGGAGAGATCAGGGTAGAATGACTCATGTGGAATAGAATGTGGGTGACCCCGTAGTAAGTTCTTTCCAGCTGACTGTAGGTCTGGGAAAGTCTGAATAACTAGAGTGTGATGTTGGGCATACATCAGAGTTCCCAAACCTTACTGTGTGTCCCAAACACTGAAGTGCTTGTTGAATCCATGGTCCACTTCAAAGCTATGGACTCTTCATTTTGCCAGGTTCCCCTGGTGGTGCTGATGTATCATAGATTTGGGAACCATTGCTAGAAGAGACAGACTTCCAAGTGTGGAATTCCTGGCAATAATTTGTACCACAGAGGTATCCAGTGCCGGTGTTCCTCTCAGAATGAAGAGCAGAAACAAAACAGAAGCATTCTTGATATCTAATTTATGTCACCACATCCTTCTAATGTGACATGTAAAAATCTTAAAAGTTTTTTGGAGAATTCTGGCCAGATAGCCTACCTGGAGCTATGCTGAGGACGCACATATTTTGCTAGCTTTAGTCTCTTAATTTATTCCTGACCTGACCTGTTTAAAACACAAAGGATTGGGTGTGGGTAAGAAGGTACTCCCTTTGCAGCCTGACATGAATCTTGGCAGCAACCCCAGTGATAAAAGTATATCGCTCTGTCAGCAGATCTCAAGGCGGTGTGAGGAGAAAGCGGATGTTCTATCAAAGTGAGTTAGCTGGGAGAGGGGCTAGGTGGGTTGGGGTATATGCCAAGAAAAAAAGTTTTTAGATGATCTAAAGCACAGTGACCAATTCTGAGTTGCGAACCATTGTTTGCCTGTTTCAAACAAGATTCTCTCCATCAGTGTTCTATCTGGTATTTAACATACCTGGCACAGGGGAGGGCAAACCAACCACAGCCACTTCAGTGAGACAGTGGCACAGTCAAATCTATCACTCCTGGGGCATGACGAGTATTCACCTCTTCACCTAAGAACAGAAACTTTGAAAGCATGATCAAAGGTCTGTTTCCACACAAAAGTGACAATGAGTAATACCTTCTAGTGACATGGGATGTGGTGTTGGGGATTCTAATGAGGTAAAACTGCAAAGGTGGCGGTGGCTTCTCAAAGGCTGGCAATTTTAGACAGGTGCCCACATAGGACATTGGAAGGTCAGTATCTGTCCACTTCCTGAGTGGTCTTTGGAGTTGGATCCCTAATTTGAGACATGTCTGAAACATCTATGGCTTTGGTTTTCAGAGGGCCATTCTGATTTTTAGTAGGTCCTGTTACTTTCAGAATACCTGTGAGACCTGGTGAACCTCCTTTGGGCTTGGCGAGCTAAGAGAAAGAGGTTGGAAGCTTTCAGAACAATGCCTATTTGGTAGAGAACTGAATCTCTTGTGTAGCCAGTGGCTCCTGAGATCATTCTATTTTCAGAACTAGGTGGAATATTTTTCCCATAGCATGACCAGCTGAAGTCATTACAAGACTTGGTAGGGTTCTTCAAATGTCCTGGGTGCTCTCAGAGAGGACAGAGGCCACATTTATCCTCACCCAAAACATGCCGTCGAATAGCTGAGTAACTTAGTACCTTTATAAGAGGAGTTAAGACTCTGCACAGCTGGGAGTTGGTGGCTCATGCCTGAAATCCTAGCTACTCGGGAGGCAGAGACCAGGAGAATTGTGGTTTGGAGCCAGCCCTGGACAAATAGTTCGAGAAATCCTATCTTGAAAAACATCTGTCACAAAAAAGGGCTGGCAGAGTGGCTCAAGTGGTAAGAGTGCCTGCCTAGCAAGCCTGAGGCCCTGAGTTCAAACTCTAGTATGGCCAAACAAACAAACAAACAAAAACACCCCAAACACAACAAAAAACAAAAAAACAAGACTCTCCAGGGCTGGGATGTGGCTCAGTGGTAGAGCTTTGCCTAGCATGCCCAAGGCCCTAGGTTGGATCCCCAGCACCAGCAAAAAAAATTCCAAGATTCTCTTTTACACTATGAATGGACAGTCACGCTCTGATGTAACAGAAACAAATGTAGCAGCTCTGAGAAAGTTCTGGTATAATATGCATCGGTGAAGAGCACAGGCTATGGCAAGGCCACTAAGGGAGGAGTCTACGGCCACTGTGAAGACCTCTGTCACTATCTGTAGATCTGAGGGCAGCAGAGTCCTCAGTGCTATTGTCAGTAGGTGCTCTGAAATGTTTCTTCTCTCTTTCCTGCCTCCTTCTATCATTTCAGAAGAAAACAAAAGGCAGACTCTATTCAAGTGTCATTTAAAATTTGCTATGGTAAGAACATGAGTATCAAGAAACATGTGTGTGTAGGTGTCCTTCCCAAAAGCATAAGCACTCCTGGGCTAAATTAATAAAAATGGATTGCACCTATGTGGGGCTCTGCCATGCACTGGTACACTTGTTTCTTGTGCTAATTCTTCAAGGTAGGTAGA